ACAGAACAGAAAGGAAGAAAATTGTATTTGAAAAGGACAATAACTTTGAGTTAGGTCATCATCTTTGTCTAATAAGAACAGCTATATATTTTACTTCTAGCATTTATTTATATTATATTCCGTATGATCTCCACAAAGAAAAACTGACACTTTCATTGATTTTAAATAGTCCTTTAATTAGCTATGCTGATGTTGTAAAAAAAAGCTTTTTAAAAAAACTTTGTTAAAAGAATTATTCTCTGCTCTGAGTCTATTTTAAAACAAATTTTAATCAAGAAGAAAAATACAGTTTCCCAAACATTCTCCCATAAAATTCACAAAAGCCAAACATTCATTAATGGAGAAATAATAGTTAAGCTTATGTTTCATGTGTTTTTCATTTTCTTGCCCTGTATAGACTAGTTTGTTCACAGTCTAGAAACCAGTTGATCACATTTACCCATCCCACAATCCAGGGTGTCACAGTAAAGAACAAAATTAATTCTCGAGAACTCAAGCAAATAAAATCATCTTTCATGGCAATTAATTTACTATTTAATAACAGTCACATCCACTAATAGAAGAATATACTGACAAATGACTTTCCAAAAATACTGGTTTTATGCTTTTTGTTTCTTTTCCTTCTGATGACTGCTTCCTAACCCATTCTTTGTAAGTACCCTCTCTACTCAGAAGCAGTCATACAGATGTATTACTCAAGTACAAATCCCATGGGCTTTGGTACCAATACTGACCCCCATTCCAAGCCCCTGATAACAAGGGTTCGTAGTTAAACAGTTGAGAGTGACATTTGGACTTTAGACACATCGGTCTCAAGCAGACATCACTTGAGCTCAGGTCTTACTTGGAAGGTTATCTCTGCAGCCTGACATGCCAGATACTACTTATTCATTGAAAATTAAAGCCAAGACTCTACACAATCTTAATATGCATCACAAATGCCAGATGCCCGCCCTCATATAACGGACCTCAACTTGTCCTGTCTTTTAATAGAGTAATTCCAGTTTAATAGTCTCAAGGTGTTTCTAAGATAAGACCCCACTCGTTTTTCATTCACTCCAATAGTCCCACTGAAGCAAGCCTGCAGTCTGACCAGAACCAGATGTGCACATAAACAGGCTGTGAATGCAAACAGCATTAGTTTTAAGAACAGCAAAGAAAAAAAATACTAGGTAAGTAAAGGTAATGGACAGATAGGATGGAATTTAAGGATATACATGAAATCACACAGTACTAGAACACTCAAAAATTGTCTTCAAGTTCCTGCCAGTATTTATCTCCTTTTCTTCAAAACTTAATAACCTCCTCTCACTTCCTTGGTCAATAGCTCCTATTTCCTAGCCTTAGGAGTGCACGTGCACTCATCACCTACTTGTCACTTCCTAAACTAGGCAGAGCTTGTGCATCCTCAGTGCTTCAGCAGCCTCCGCACTCAACTACAACTGAAACTCCAAAATGCAACGGGGAGGTCAAGCAACTTTAGGTTATAGTAGCTGGTATTTAGAAACATAGTTTTGAGTAGTTTCAATGTGACTTTTAGTGACAACTGCTGCTTCCGCCGGCACATCAAACCTTCCCTGGTGCAAAGCAGGCACGGTGTCAGCAGCTCCTCACACCTAGTACTCAGAGAAGTCACTCCTCCCACAACCAGATGTAAACTGCCACCTTATATTACTGCCCTGTTTAGAATTTAAGCCTGAGTTTCCATGCGGACAATGCATCCACAAGTATGTGCCTCTTCCAAGAAGTATGTCCAAAGAAGTACATCTTCCAAGTTTGCAAGACAGTTATCCAAAAAAAGGAGGATTAAATTTTACAGTAAAGTGGTTACTTGAACAGTGGTTTATACTCAGCTCCCTGATTTCAACAAGATAATTGCTCTGTCCCTCTTCAAATACACATAATCTGATAATAAATGCACATAAAATTACTAGAACTAAATGCTATTTTATGTGTATCATGTATTTGCATAATGGATAAAGTTTCATATAATATGTTATTGCATAACAGTCAGTTTGTAAAGGTCTATCATCATGCATTTTTTATGGTCTGTAAAGTTAGATTTTAATTTACGTTAAGATTTTTTTTTTAATATTCGAGAATTCCAAAGTCGTTCAAAGCTCCTAGAACAGATAATTTCTAAGTGTGCTCTACTAAAGGAACCAAAAACCAGTTTTAATTACATGCAGCTGGAGGAAAAGAAGTGCTTGCTACAATTGCATTTGACAGGTATAACCTAACCCTTTTATGCAGAAAGTTTCTAAGTCATGAAAACCAGTATTTAGTGACAAATCCATTGGAACTTTTTCTAAGCCATCCTCCCCATAAGCACAAATTGGAAATATCACTTAATCACAGAAGTAAATTAGTACGACAAAAGTAAAAAATCTTCTGTAACATTTAGAGAAAAAAAATGTTTGAATCTAGTTTCAGAATAATTTAAAGAAATAATTTAAAAACAAAATCAGGCAATTCTTGATTGTCTCTTTTTAGACTAATCACTATTTTTCTGTAATTCCAGAATTTCTAGTCTGAACTCTCCAGGTAATTCCAATCTGAAAGAAACTGACATGAAAAAAAAATAAATACATTTGTGTCCAGTTTGTCAAAAGTTAAGATTATTCAAAACCCAACTCTATGTTAATTCAATCACCACCTCTGTTTTCCTTTAGATTTTAATATATTAACAAGAGAAATGTTTGGATGTCAACATCTACTTTAACCACAAAACTAAGCATTGTAATGCTGCAGCAAAACAACAAAACACAAGCACATTTTATGTCTTTTCCCTGTCTGTATTCATGTACTCTCTTTGACAAATAAAGGCTTCAAATGTGAATTTCTGGTCGCACACAATACAAAAAAAGGTAATTATTTTTCACCTAATGCTTTGCTAGAGCTACCATGCAAATGTATTTTCTCTGCTGTTTTTTAACAGTTTACTTGTATTATCTCACTTTGATACTTTATATATTACCTACTATTAATTTATTAAAAAGTAAACAAATGATCCAAAAAAAAGTATTGCTCTTGTGACAGATCCTAAGCTCAAAATTAAATGCCATAAGACTTAACTCGACTTCCCTCTCTGGATGCACAAAAGCAATACACAACTACATGAGGACTACAGGAATCCTCTGTCTACAACATGCAGCATCCAGGAAGGATGTAAGCTTAGAATCACAGAATTTTTAGGACTGGAAGGGACCTCTGGAAATCATCTAGTCCAATCCCCCTGTCAAGGCAGGGTCCCCTAGACCAGGTTACACAGGAATGCATCCAAGTGGGTTTTGAACGTCTCCAGAGAGGGAGACTCCATGACCTCCCTGGACAGCCTGTTCCAGTGCCACCATCGAGAGATTTCACAGAATATTCTGAGTTGGAAGGGATACCCAGCAATCATCAAGTCCAACTCTTAAGTGAATGGTCCATATGGGACCATCAGACCCACAATCTTGGTTTTATTAGCACCATACTCTAACCAACTGAGCAACATAAAGTTCTTCCTCATGTTGAAGTGAAACTTCTTGTCTTTTAATTTATGGCCATTGCTCCTTGTCCTGTCACTGGGCACCACTGAAGAGCCTGGCACCATTCTCTTTGCATCTCTCTTTGAGGTATTTATATGCCTTAAAGAGACCCCCTCTCAGCCTTCTCTTCTCTAGAACAAGCAGGCCCAGCTCCTTCAGTCTCTTCTGATATGAAAGATGCTCCAGTCCCTTAATCTTCTTTGTGGCCCTCCACTGGACCCTCCCAAGCCTGCCGTGCTAGCTGGCCCTCCCTGCTCCTATTCGTTGAATCACAGGCTCCATATTTTTTGGAGCTTGGGAAGGGGATCTGGGAGGTCACCTCCCCCGGCCTCCGCTGCTCAGCGCGGGGTCAGTGACAGTCGGTTGCTCAGGGCTTCGTCCGTTCGGCCTCTGAGCATCTGCGAGGCCAGGAATTCAAACCTCATCCCTGCCTGTCCCAGTCAGCTCAGCAAATCTGACGGGCCGCTCGGCTTTCCCGGCTGCCGGGGATCCCTGCCCAGACGCGTGGAGGCCGCGGCCGTGCGGGCACCGCCGCGCCCCGTCCTTCCCAGGCAGTGAGGAGGGACGCCCCGCTCCCGGGAACTCTCTGCCCGGGGCAGCAGCCGCCGCAGATTCGCGCCCAGTCCCGCAGTGGCGGCGCGGGGTTCACAGCCCGGACCCGCGGACTGGCCCCCGCCGGGCACTGTCCGGGCCGCCGCGACACCCACCAGGCCCGGGGCCAGCGCGGGGGCGTGCGCGGGGCCGGGGCGTCCGCGGGGCCGGCGGAGGGAGCGCGAGGAGGGGGCGGCGGCGGGTCCCACCTGAAGTCCTTGTCGCTGGATGTCATTTTCTCCAGCAGGTTGGAGATGTGGTACGAGGCGCTCGCCATGTTGACGGACGCGGCCGGGGCGGGAAGGGGGAGAGAAGGAGAAGGCGGCGGCGGCGTCTTCCCGGCCTCGCCGGCTCCGCTCCGCCCGCGGTGCAGGGGCCGGGCCGGGCCGGGCCGGGCCGGGGTGGGGGGGCGGCTGCGGCGGGCGCGGCGGGAGGGGCGGGCAGGCGCGCGCGGCCGCTCGCGCTCGGCGCCGGGGTCGAAGGCCGGCGCCGCTGATTGGCTGCGCGGGCGGGCGGGAGGTGCGGGCGGCCCTGTGACACCTCGTGGCGTCAGATCGTACGTGGCGCGGAGCGTGCGCGGGAAGCTCGGGCGGCCGCGGGAGAGAGGCGGGGAGGCCGGGGAGGCCCGCGAGGCCTGCGTGTCCCGGCGTGCACCGCGCCCGCGCCGCGGCCGGGGCTCTTGGCGGTGCACGCCGGGACGTGTAGTTTGGAGCGCGGCGAGTATCCCTGAGAGCAGGGCACGCTGGGATGCGGAGCCTCGTTTTTTGGGGGGGTGGGGGCGGTTTTAGTGAGGGAGGGGCGGTGGAGATGAGGCTGGAAACTAGGTGCTCTAGGTTGAGTGCTATTCGCATCCAAAGGGTTCAGCAGTGCTATGGGTTCCTGTTAGTGCCCCCCGTGGGGCACCGGGAGCGCTGTTGCTCGTACTGCGGCCATTACAAGTCCGCAAAATATCCTGGTGTTACAGAGCCGGCAGCTTCTGTTCCAGGCCCCTTCACAGATGTGCACTGTCTCCCGTCGTAGCTGAGCGCGGTCTCAAAAATGTCAGATGGATCCCAAAAGTGATGTGAAAAATCAGCCGTGGCTTGCAGAAAGCAGCTTGGAAATGTGATGTGAGTGCTTTTAGAGCCCTCAGAAGCCAAAGGACACCTTTGGAGAGAGGGGCTTTTTTTGCGTACCCCGTTACTGTTCGTGCCAGTCTCATTACTTTTCTGGGCACAGCCCATGGTCTGTCTATGTATGGGTAGATGATATGGAGCAGTATTAGAACCGAGGAAATATTTCCACACATTACATGTTCCTTGAGGTTCGTGTTAATGTGCAAGAATTCTAATATCCTTAATCCTTCTCAGTTACGTGTGTATACAGCAAACCTACAGAAATGCCTTTTGATCTCGTGATTAAAAATAAAAACTTGAACTATAAAGAAAATATCTTCAAGAGTTTATTACATGCGGTTTACAGGCAGCCTTGCAGAGCAGCTGATGGAAAACACACACTTTACTCGATAGAGTGAAGTTGTGTATCGCCCCCATGGCCTGTGACCCAGCCACAGTGTACAAACAGCTGTCTTGGAAGGTACTCCTGCTGTTCATTGTCTGGCAGCTGGGTTGAAGAGAGAGCTTAATGTGTACTGATCTCCTTCCCCAGAGTAGCTCAGTAGTAGGAAGAGGTGGGACAGCATGGTGTTGGATTAGTGGCATTGCAGTGGGCGTGATGTAGGGATGGAACAAGGAAAATGGAAGTAGTCAGGAGCAGGATGGGTGTCCGGAGGAGAAAGAGGGGAACGTCAGTGTGGATGGAGAAACTGTAGTTAGGGGAAGCACTCAAAAGGAGAGCTGGCCCAATGATGACTGATTTTCAAGTAGGCCATTCATTCCTTTGATTTCGGAATACTGAATTTAGAGGTTACCTTTAGAGAGAGAAATTCTTTACTTCATTTTGCTTGAATGTTTGCGTGTGATACTTAAGGAAGCCAACTGGAACAATACAAATGGAGATAGACTCAATCTTGACTTGGTTATGACGGCTGAAAATGGTTTATGATGTTTGAATTGCGGTGATATTTTACACACACAGGAAAATTGCATAGCTCCTCTTTGAAGTACTTAGGCATAAAAAATTGAAGTACAAATGTTTGACATTTGGCACATTGATTCATATTTTGCCATGGGAAGGTTAGCACTATTCTAAATCATTTTAGTGACTGTGACTTTTGAGCATCTTACAGTTCCCAGGAACAATTTGTTTCTGGGATGTCAGTGTCCTGCAGTTCTCACATACTGTGGGAAAAGACTGTTCTAACCCAGTCTTTATTTATATTCATGACTTTGGTACTAAGTGGGGATCAGGTCGTTATGGGGTGGTGAAACATCATGTGTTCCGAAAACATTCTTCCCACATGGTTACCATGATGCATTATACTGGAGAAGCATGTTAAGACCAGCTAGACAAAAGAAAATCCTCTATGCTAGGTAAGGTTGTTAAGTTGATTCCTGTTGTGGAGTAAAGCATTGCCAGTGGTCCTTGTGAACTGCTGTTGGGATTTACTTTTCAAATCCTTACAGTTTTCAATTAGACACTAAACCAGGCTCATTTCCTACTTTGGGAATCCTACATACATCTACTTTTAAGGAGAGAATGTGTGAGAACTAAAAAAAAATCAGAACAATTCTGCTCCAGTCTGCTAGACAACCTTGAACACTTTTAAAATTTTTTTAAAAATCGTTTAACATCATCCTTCCCATGCTAGTTTCTGTACCTGCAGCTTACCTGCCACTGATTAAATCCAATTTCCCGTTACTGCCAGAAACACTGGCCATCATGAAGGAAGTCAAAGTATTTTTTTGTTCAAGTACATTTATTACAATTGGGATTCAGCTATAGTAGATACAATGTTCCAGAGGAGACTAACACAGAGAGAGACTAATTGAGTTGAGATTTTTTTCCAGCTGATAGCAAACAACTTCACAGATGGAGTGGTACTCCTGATCTGTTCCCTGTAGACAGGCATATTAGATGGTCTTTATTCACTCACAAAGATATCTGAAAGCTTAATTAAATGCTGGAACTTGAAAGGATTTATCTTGTTTTACACTTGCAAATATATTCCCCACATGCTGAAGAAGAGAGAAGAGCAGAGTTAGTTTGGAGATGCATTCACAGCTCTAGAATTTGAACCCTCCTCATTTTGCAGTTTCAGTTCACACAGGAGCTGTGAGCCTGCTGATGGACAGAGGATATTGGGAATGTGCTGCATCTTTATCTGTCAGTGTAGAAAGTGTAGAAAGAGCATGTATACCATGCAGCTTTACTCAGCTTAAAGGTAATCCTTTCAGATGACAAGTTAAAAGCTGGTTATCATTTTTGACAGAGCTGGTTTTGGGGAAATAAAAGGAAAATTTCTGCTCTAAGTCAAAAGCTGCTCACTGCTGCAAGCAGATATTTGAGCCAGAGAACTTACAGTTGTGGTTTATCACTTAGATATGTGACTGACTTTGAACATCTGAACCCTGACTTTTCACAAAGATGCCTATAAAGAAAGCCTTTACAAATTTATTGACTGATCATACTAACAAGCCAGAGATGGTTTCAAAGAAGTAATCTAGACTGAAATATGAAAGGAAAAGGAGTGGTATGGCAATCTTCAGCTTAAAGCAAACAAATTGAAAAAGCAGCATGACCTACACTGCCACAGTCACATGGGTAAATGTGTGTTTCAAGGTATTAAGGTTATTATTGTCTTGCATTGTTATAAATTGTTATGTTCCAAGACATGAAGATGAGTTAGCTGTGGAATTTAAAACTTGGCTTTGGAATCTTAACCATAATAATACTCTATTAAGGGTGGGTCTTTTTCCCCCCCTTCTTTTTGTTTTACTTATTTTTCAAGTTACATGGCAGTCCATAGCAAATGATAGCAATGTCAAAGGGCACATTTAGAACTAAATAAATTGTCAGCTGCCTTTCAACCTCATAAACCAAAGTTTTAGTTAAGTTTTTTTTTCTCTTCCTAAAGCTGAAAACTTGCTCATATCCAAGTTAAGTAAGAATCTCAAAGCATCTTTCCAAAAGCAGTGGGTGCTACTATGCTGATTCTCACTTAAGATTGTTTCATTTCTGTACAACAGAAGATACTGTTGATCTCATTTAGCAGATATTTCTATACACTTACCCAAGAGAATAAATAATAGCTACTGCCTTCCTAAGCCAGACAATCCATTTCTGTAAAGCAAAGCAAACCAAAACAAAGTGTTTGAATATCTGATTCCTCAGCTTTAAGAAAGAGAAAGATAGGAAAACAGTGCTGAAAAGAATATATTCATCTGGTTAAGTAATGGACTGAAGCAACTGTCACGTAAGCTCGGATTGTCTCTCTAAAAGAACAGAGCTCCACTAGCACCCTCATCATAAGATTAGGTTTCAGGAAACATAATATCTTAAAGGAAAAAATGTAACAGGCTTTTAATTAAAAGGTTAAAAAAGAACCAAAAAACCTTCCCCACAATAATGCTAAAAGAAATTTCCCTTCTGATTACTAAAGACTGCACAGATTTTTGGAGGATCTCTGCTCAATTTCAGATGCATACCACAACCATACAAAAGTAAAAAAGAAAATTAATCTTTCAATTTAAATCTGATTTGAAATATGAGCCAGAAATTTAGACTGAAAGATTTTTATCATTGTATTATTCTCATGCCAAATGAACTCAGTTTACAGAACAAAAGATTTGTTTCTTCCTTGATATCTCTCCTAAAAATCAGTCCAAGTTTTTTTTCCTTGACCATTTGCATTTCCATTCCTTATCACAACTCTAGGTTTATAATTCCTTCAGAGCCCTTTATGTTTCCCTTTATGTCAGCACACCTTTATATCTTCATATAATTACCTCAGCAATGCTTGTACTCAAGACACTTCTCTTCAGTAAACTTAAAAGCACTTGTTTAATTGGAACTTATGTTACTGAACCATATTCTTTGTGTCTCAGAAGTTGTAAAAATACAAATTAAGTGTTTGCCCTATTGAGGCTTATTAGAACAAGAGGTAGCTGTGTTATGGATTTTGTTTATTCTGGATCCCACATTTCAGAAAAGCCTTGACCATACTGATAATTTAGAAATTTCAACATTAGTACATTGGCTAATTACGAGTCAATGTTTGTTAAAGTGGACATAAGAGCTAATCTGTTTCATTTCCTGACATAACAACACTGCTGCTGTTCTCCCTATTCTTGCTTAAGAGTGCTTCACTTCAGGCCAACAGAATGTGCTATCTCTCACATTTATCGGACTCTCAGTAACAGCAAAGTTGAAAAAATAAAAGTACAATTATTGTGTCATGAATCAAGGTGAACAGAGAGGGCTAAAGCTAAATTGCAATTAATGAATTGATGGAATGGAGTGTAACCTTGCAGAGTCTGATTTCTCGGGGCAAAACTGACTCATCCACAGGATTGTCCAAGGTAAAGTGACTCGGTGATTCTCCTCTTGGAGCAGATGATGCCTGTTGCCATCCCACCATCACTTGAACAACAAACATAGCCCACTGCCTGTCAAGATATGTCTCTGCTGGCTGCCACAAACTGACTCACGTTTTGATCTTTTCTGTGCTCTCTGAATGTTCTACTGAAGGGCTTTCTTAGTCTTTAACTCACATGTTGGAGCTGAATGGCTCTTAATATACAATGTATTCTTTTCTTTTAAATTTACTAATTGAGAAATAAATTAATAGTAGTTACTCAACACAGACTGTCATCTACATTCTCACAGCAGAACCTAAAAATATCCTGACTTCCATGTGCTCTGCATGAGAGACTTCTCCAGGTGTCCCTATATAGTTGACTGCAGTTTTTAGACCTGACATGTAATACCTGTGGTGTTCAGGTCCTCCTGAGCAGGAACACACACTGGCTGGTCTTTTATTAGAGACTCTTGTAGGGCTGAGAAGTTCTAGATTTGATCAGCTTAAAAGTTCTTTGATATTATTTTTTTAGTGAACTGAAGTATATTTAACACATAGTAAGTGTTATGCACAAAATCTTATTAGAGGAGTACTAAATTCAAGTACTGATTAGAGCCTGTCTGTGTAGTTTCTTCTGGTTACTTGTTTTTG